GAGGCTCAGCTCCTGCCGTCTCCAGGCCTCGCGCTGCGCCCTGCTGGAAATGCCGTGCGGGGTTCAGCGTGCATTCACCTCATCCGTGCTCAGCCCCTCGTTCTGAGGGGGACAAGGGTAATTGTCGCTCCTCCCCGGGCTCAGCGTGAGGGGGAGAGACGCGCGGCTCCCCAGGAGCAGCTTTGGTGGTGATTTGTGCCTTCCTCCCCTGCAGGCAGCTGATCCCGGCCGAGCCCGTCCGTGAGGGCGGCCCAGGAGCGGCTCGCCATGCCCACGGTGGTGGTGGTGGACGTGTCGCTGTCCATGACGCGGCCCGTGTCGGTGGAGGGCTCCGAGGAGTACCAGCGCAAGCACCTGGCTGCCCACGGGCTCACCATGCTCTTCGAGCACATGGCCACCAACTACAAGCTGGAGTTCACGGCCTTGGTGGTGTTTTCATCCCTCTGGGAGCTCATGGTGCCCTTCACAAGAGACTACAACACACTCCAGGTAGGGCGTGTGAACACTAAGGCAGTAAACTGTTCACATTTTTAAAAAATCAGACAATTGTGCCGCCAAAACAGGGTGAAGTGTGATTTGATATCATTCTGTGTACAGCGTTGTGAATTGAGTGGGTTTGTCCTCATTTTAATGGCAGATGAAATCAGTGTGCTTGAAACGGTGAACTTTGCCAGTTGCACTTTGCAGGTGAGCACTGGGGTGTGGCTCATTGGTTCTGAAATGGGATGGAGTTTAAAATGGGATGGAGGGAAGGGCTGCCTGCTGAAGCTCCTCAAATGGGTCTGTAATGTCCCTGTTTTAATGTGTGGTTGTTGGTTTGCTCTTGATAATGCAGCTGACAGGACCATTTAGAAAGGCTTTGGTAGAGAGAAGGTGATGTTGAGAGTGTGTAGAGGTCAAAACAGTGCAAGAGTGAGAATGAATGATTTTAGGCTTCACAGATGTGGTGGGAATTTGGGAGGAGGAAATGGGGAGGAGAAAGTCCAAGAGGGAAGTTTCACATGAATGCAGTAAGGCACTGGAGCCCCTGAATCCAGTAAAATTTGTACATTTATATCTGACCCTCACATGCAGGGGGAAAGGACACATTGCTCTCACAGGGCACCATGGTTTGGGTTTGTCCATTGGGCAGAGAGATTTTTAAAGCTGTTCTCTGTTATGTTTGCAGTTTAGCAGGAGAGTGCCAGTGCATCCTCTCTGATTAATTTTCGCTTCCCTAAGAGTTCATTTGAGGAATTTTACAAGCCAGGAGCCCAACCAGGCTCCTTTAGTAAGTTCATCTCATAGCTGCACTCTGGTGATGCTGTGTTAAGTGTGAGGTTTTCATTTCTAGGAGGAAAGCTGGTTTATGAATGCAGATGTGAATTTTGGGTTTGTCACTCTCTCTCTGCCAAAGAGTTTTTGTGAAATAAACTCCTTGTGGTCTCTGCTCTGACACCTGGGAGGATTTTCTCAGCTAAATGTTTCCTGTTAGATGTTGCCTCAGGTTTTCACTTTAAGACATACAAAGGTGGTTTTTTCACTGTTAAAGAGCTGTGCTGATAATATTACAGTTAATAATATTAATACAGTTAATATACTATAAATAAATTAATATAAAGATAACATTAATACAGTTGATAATATGTTGATAATATTCCAGTTCCTTGAAAGGCAGGAGTGCCTGCTGGTGTGCCTGGCAGGGATGCTCCCCCAGCAGTGACTGTGGTATTTGTCTTTGCAGGAAGCCCTCAGTAACATGGATGATTATGACAAAACCTGTTTGGAGTCAGCGCTGCTGGGGGTTTGCAATATTGTGCAGCAGGAGTGGGGGGCAGCAATTCCTTGCCAGGTAAGGCTGATTGCTCTGGTTTAAGTTCACTGCATGTTTTGTTATCCCTGGCAGGGAGATTGGAACTTGGTGATGTTTAAGATCCCTTCCAACCTGAGCCATCCTGTGATTCTGTGATTGATTCTGTTCCTGTGAGTTGCACATAGAAATGTAAATGTAATTTGAAAGTTTGGAGTGCTCTCAGGCATGCTTTGTGCAAAACCACAAAGAATTAGTATTTTGGCTAAACCTGCAGTATGAACAGAAGGTGAGCTTTATAAAAATATTCAGCAACAAAAAAAAACGAGGCTGTTTCCTGCCCAGTGTGTTCTTGTAGTGCAGTGGATTGTAAAACATGGCTCAGGAGCACTCTGTGCAGGTCTGTGTGTGATCTGGGTGCAGTCTGCTGTCCCAGGAGCCTCAGTGCATTTGGAAAGGGTGTAGTCCCACATCAGGAGCCTCTCCCCTCCAGTCCTTGATGGTTTCCAGGGCTTTGACAATCCCAGCTCTCAACCAACAGCGTGGGGCTGCTGCTGCTGAGTGTGTTTTGATCTGACTTCTCTCCCAAATGAGTCATTTGCCATGCAGCTGCTCACAGCCCCCATTCAGCCCTGCAAGCTCTCAGCCTTCCAAATCTGCTGCCTTTTATGGCAGAGTTTGCCATAAAACCCTTGGTTTTCTCAGACACTTGATTTAAGTTCAGCAATTTTGCAGCTCAGTGAGGTGGGAAGATGCCTGAAGCAATATTCCTAAAGGAGAAAAAGGATAGAGGTTTATTGGTTAGCCAGTGCTTCATCATCCAACGTGGACAAAGGGCATCCTGGGACAGAAAAGAAAAACAACAAGAAAGATGTGAAAACCAGGCAGAGATTAGACCTCAACTATTTTGTGTCTCATTTGTGCCATAGCTGATTTTACTGGCACTTCAGGTGCTGGGGTGGTGGAGGGCACTGAGGAATGGACTGTGCAGCCTTGGAGTAGTGAAAAACATCACTGGTGAGCTCCAGTTCTGAGCAGACACTGAGGATGCAGGGAGAATACAAATCTGGATGTAGCAATTACACGTGGAGTTTCAGCTGGGTTTGATTTTCCTTGCCTGGCAGCCAGAAATCATGCCTGCTGTTGCCATGCAGCATTGAAGGAGCAGCTCTTTTGCTCCTCTGGAAGCTGGGTCACAGCTGAGTGTAAATAATCCCATTATTCAGTGTAATTAGTGCGGGTTTCCACAGGGATTGACTCTGGATGTGCAATTGAATGAAAAAGTGTGGTTTTGATGTAGTAATTCTGCTGCAGAATTTGAGGATGATGCAGCTGTATTTGCAAAGCATGAAGATCACTCAACTTCTACTATAAGCCACAGAAACATCACCTGTTTTGAGGTTTCTGTGGCTTGTAGTGGAAGTTGAGTTGCTCTCCAGATTTTGCAGAAGAAATCCAGAAAAGATGCTTTATCATTCTTCTGAAAATAAACCTGGAATCCTTGAGCCCAGCAGCAGGAGGCTGGTTTTTGGCTGTGTAGTCACTGTGCTTCTCATGTACACTTACTTAAACAGGAAATGGATGAGATTCAAATTTTGGTGCAATTACCTAATGCCAAGAAAACACTTATTTACCATGCACACTGTGTAAACCATGAGGGTTCAATCTTCGATTTCTCTTTGATGTTCCTTCTGGAAATTTTGCCCAGCTGGGTGGAGGAAGCCCGCTGGGATAGGGGGTTTGGGTGGGAGCGGGTGCTGCAGGAGGTGCAGCTGGGAGTGTCTCACTGTCCCGCTCCCCGCAGGTTGTCCTGGTCACCGACGGCTGCCTGGGCATCGGCCGGGGCTCCCTGCGCCACTCCCTGGCCACCCACAGCCAGCGCAGCGACAGCAACAGGTTCCCCCTGCCCTTCCCGTTCCCGTCCAAGCTCTACGTCATGTGCATGGCCAACCTGGAGGAGGTGACGGCTTATTCTTTGTTGCATTGGGAAATTGTTGGTCCTGTCTGAGCCAACGGCCAGTTGTGTTGATGTTCTCGTGCTTAAGGTTTAGTTGACATTCTGGGTGAAAGAGAATTAAAGGTTTATTATTGCACTGTTATTATCTACTGCTTCTGCTTTATTACTATAGTCTTTATAAATCACGTCAGTTTGTCCCTGGGGAATATTATGGGATTTTATCGTCTCTGTTTATATTACTACTGCATTAATTACATTGAATGCTTTTGGGGCTCTTAATCTACAGTTAAGTTCTTGAATAAATTACTTGTGTTGCAAAGATGTTTAACACTTAAGACACAGTAGCTGTATGTAGAAATGGGAGAGGGGAAAACTGAAGTCTCCAAACCAGTGTTCCAAACACCTTCCCTTAGTTTTGAAGGAAAGGTGTCAATTTTCTTCCTCCTTTCTCTTTCTCTTGCAAATTTCAATCCCAGCTTTAAAAATCTTCACAGGACTTAGAATTCTGCTGCATAAACATTTGTTTAAAAAGAAGCCTATTTGACTAATATTCATTAGATTAAGTTTTGTTAATAGCATTGCTTTTGATTTGACTCCTGTATTCTTGTGTCCTTCACAGAAGGGTTTTGTGCTTAGGCATCAATTAGATATCTCAGCTTCATGGTCTCTGTCAAGGATGTCTCTTTTGATTAAGCTGGTGGATTGAAGCATTCTTAACATCTCAAAATAACTGGGAAAATATTTAAAATAAATATTTAAAATAAATAATCTATTTCTGATAAGTAATAAGAGAACATTGCCTGGGAGACAAAGAATGTTGGTTTATTTGGAAAGGAGAGAGAGAACAAAAAATCATGGGAGCATCCAATCAGATGCTTTTTGCTGTGTTGTGTATATTTTCTTTCAAAATATTCTCAAAAGAGAATAAAAAGAACACTCAACAAAAATATTTCCCTTTCTTTTTCTGCAGCTTCAAAGCACAGATTCCTTAGACTGCCTGGAACGGCTCATTGATTTAAACAATGGGGAAGGGCAGATTTTCACCATTGATGGCCCCCTGTGCCTGAAGAATGTGCAGTCCATGTTTGGGTGAGTGCACTTGTACAGAGTTTTGGGAAGGTCTCCAGTTGGTATCTCAAAAGCAAAACAAATACAGTAAGAAATCTGGTGGTATGAGATGTTCTAATTAAACTCTTTATTTTTATTTTTTGATCTTGTTAACTGTAATTTCATCTTGGCCTTCACTAGTTGTGGTCAATATTTATTTAGTCATTGTAACCAAACTGTGGCATCTGTTTATGCTTGGCAGATAGAAGACAGTAATTTCCATAATTATTGTTCATTTTCCATGAGTGGGATAATGCTGCTTTGTTTCATAATTTAGCAACACTAGAACTGTTGAATTAACTGTAGTTAAAAAAGGTTTGGGAGCTAAATTATTGTGCCTTAGACAAACTATTTTCCTTTAATATGTATTATGTTTTCCTTAATAACTGTGTTCTAGAAAGCTAATAGACCTGGCTTATACACCATTCCATGCTGTCCTCAAGTGTGGCCACTTAACATCTGATGTGCAAGTATTTCCCAGACCAGAGCCTTTCATTATAGATGAGGAAATAGACCCCATTCCTAAAGCAATTAATACAGGTAACAAATCTTTGATTGCTTTTTTACTAAAATCCATTTGTTTTCTGCCCTTTCACTACCACCTCTCATCCTGTGGACTTCATCCACTTCATCCACTTTGTCTCTGCAAGGATCAGTCTCCAATTGTGTAATTTTTTGATGTATGTGTGACACCAGGGAACAAAAATATCATCCTGCTTCATCCATGTGGGTGCAGTAAGGTAGAGGCACTTTCAGAGCCCAGGGTGACAATTTCTAGGGGTAGAGTGTGGGAAACAGCCACAGGCTGCTTTCCATGAACACCCTCATAAACTTCAGTGAAGACAAATTATTTTTTAAAAAAAACTGTGCAAAGAAAAACCTTCCCAGCCCTCCCGTTAGTGGACACAGCTCCCATGAGCAGCAGGTATTTGCTTTTTCTCTTTTGGAATTTGTAAGACAGCAGTGGATTGTGTGCAGTGTAAATATCAAGGTGCTCAGTTCTGTAACTGTCCAGCAGCACAGCTCATGGGCAGCAGTCTGTATGTGCTGAAAGTCATCTTCAAAAGTTGTGTGTTTTATGTATTTCTAATTTATTAACACCTTTGCTCTCCAGTTCAGTATGGGTTCTCTTGTGCCACCTTTAGTCATTGCTTCAGAAAACCTGCTGGTGGTGATGTTCAATAGCCTCTGAATACATTTCAGTTATTTCCAAATACGACTTAAACTGTCTTAAATGTGATTTAAATCTGTTATCTCCCTGCAGATCTAGAAATTGTTGGGTTTGTAGATATTGCAGACATTTCCAGCCCTCCTGTCTTGTCCAGACACTTGGTACTGCCCATTGCACTTAACAGAGGTGAGCAAGTTGGGTTTTTCAGCAAAAACTACTTTAAGCTTCCCTTGTAATGAGGTTTAGACTGGAAGCACAGGTGTTTAAGTTTTTTTGCTTTATCAAAATACCAGATGTCATATTTGTGTGATTGCATTAAAATTAAAACCTTGACCACAAGCTCTCTTATTTTGCATCCTGTGTTCTTTGTGAAGTTCATAGAGGGGCCAGGGTCCTTACAACATCATTATTAATGGAACATGCTAAACATACAGTTCAGAATAAAAATGAGCCATGAAATATATGGTGCAAGATGAATATTTAATGCCCTTGAGTACAATGCAGTGGAACATTTCTGTATCATTGTTGTGCCACTTTGCCCAAGCAGTTCATTCTGCAGCTGTTTGTTCTACAAAAGTATTAATTAATTTGCAGGCAGACAGTAAAGGGTGGTGTCATGGAAACAGATCTCTTGTGTTTGAATTTATTCTCATGTTTTCTCTTTGTTTGCTTTGATTCTTCCCCAGAGGGGGATGAGGTGGGACCTGGGATCACAGATGACACTGAAGATGAGAATTCAGCTAATCAGATTGCTGGGAAAATCCCCAACTTCTGTGTTTTATTACATGGCAGCCTGAAAGTGGAAGGCATGGTGGCTCTCGTCCAGTTGGGGTATGGAGCTGGATGTCTGCCTGAAAAATCTCTTACTTTGCTCATTTAGGCTTTATTTATAAATTATGCTTATTTATATCTGTATTCTGTGCAGAACTCTGCACTGCTAGACTAAGCTGTGGATTTTTAATTGCAGATTTGTTTCTGTCAGTACAAATTGCAAACATTGAGCCTCCACACAGTGAGAGGGAGGCACATTCTAAGCAGAGGGGCGGAACATTTTCAGCCTTTGAGGGTTTGCTCTTTTCCACAGGCCAGAGTGGTATGGAATGCTTTATTCACAAGCTGATAGCAAGAAGAAATCAAACCTCATGATGTCACTCTTTGAACCTGGTCCTGAGCCCCTCCCATGGCTGGGGAAGATGGCACAGCTTGGCCCCATTTCAGGTACCGGTCACACTCCTCTGAGTTACTCTAAACCATTCAGTGCTGTGTGAATGATCTTGGCAATTTTTGGTTGCTAAGTCTATCATTTATTTTTTCTCCCAGATGCAAAAGAAAATCCTTATGGAGAGGATGACAACAAGAGCCCCTTCCCTCTGCAGCCCAAGAACAAGCGCAGCTACGCTCAGAATGTCACGGTGTGGATCAAGCCCAGTGGCCTGCAGGTAATGAGCCAGGGTGTGCTGCTGTACCTGGAGCAGCAGGAGCCATCTCAGCAGCAACTGCAGTCTGTGCATGTCTTGCCTATTTAGAGTAATTGCTTTATTGCTTTTCTTTCATTTTTATAAACACTGCCTCTTTACAATGTCATGATTAAAATGCAATCAGAAAGCATAGCTTGTTTAATGAGAGTTGTGTCTCCAGTGGAGCATCTGGCTTGGTTTATTTGATTTAGTATAATTACCAGTTATGTTTCAGCCTTTGTGAGTTGCAGTTTTGTCAATGGTCAGGATAATTTATCCATAAAGAGTTGGGGGTTGTTGTGCAGCTTCCCCCAGAAGCTGACAAGATTTTTGGATTTTTTTTTTCTCTTTTCTGCAGACAGATGTACAGAAGATCTTGAGAAATGCAAGGAAACTCCCTGAAAAAACACAGACCTTCTATAAAGTGAGTAACATTCCAGGGTGGCCAAGTTTGATCCACAGTGATGGTGGTGCATTTGACAGAGGAACCACAGTGTGCTCAGTTCAGGCTTGCAGTGCTCTGCAATAACTTACAGGCTGGTTGGGTGAGACAGGGGGGTCTCATTTCAATGGGCTGGCACTACATTTTGTGGCACAGATGTGTCGTGTCTACAAGTGCCCCTCATGACCTCTGCTACTTCCCTGGTGAACTTCTGTGCTGTTGTCCAGGCAGAAATGAACAGGGATCAGAGAGGAATAGGAACATGTCATTCTGAGTCTTGAAAATGTCTCCTCCATTTTATCTACAACTGAAGCAGAGAATGACAAAGTTCCAGGCACATTTGGCCACACCATAATGATCCATAACCAGACTGTAGCTGGAGGTAATTATTCCTTCTGCAAGCTTAGTGCTGAAGCAGTTTGGTATTGCAGCCTCCAGAGACCTGAAGAATGAATACCCTGCCTAAGTGCACATAAGCACTGTTCAGTTTATAGGGAAGAAAAATCAATGTATCTACATTTGACTGGACACTGTAGTCAAAGGCAGCAGTCAGTCAGTGAAGCCTAAGCTGGAGCCCTGCTGGGACACAGACAAAGCAGGCAGGTACAATAGCTGAATGCACAAAAGGAAGAAGTGGAGGTTTATAGGAAAGGATCAAGGGAAGACCACTGTTATCATCTTCAGCCCTGATTTTCTATCATCCATGAGCAGCTGGGCACTTTCCAGCAACTGCACTGTGAGTAACATCACCTTTAAAAGCACAATACAAGAAACCCACGTTTGATGTCGAGGCTTGGAGTGGCTTTAAAAGGGTTCTGTGTGTTTGCAGGAGCTGAACCGTTTGCGAAAGGCAGCTCTGGCCTTCGGCTTCCTGGAGCTGCTGAAGGGCGTGGCTGACATGCTGGAGCGGGAGTGCACGCTGCTGCCCGACACCGCCCACCCCGACGCCGCCTTCCAGCTCACACACGCGGCCCAGCAGCTCAAGGTGGCAAGTACTGGGGCCTCGGAATACGCTGCCTATGATCACAACATTGCTCCTCTGCAGACTGACTTTTCCAGCAGCAGCACTGAGAGAATGTGAAGTCTCCATTTTGGGAGCTTCTCTAGATTAAGGCTCAAGCAGTTCAGATTTTCTTCTGGCCTGTTCAATTGCTGTTTGAAGAACTTCCTATCCAAACGGGGAAGTTTTGCATCAGTGCTCTCTAAACAAACGCAGCTCGTTTGTGGTGGCTGTTAGTCAGACCTGGAAACTGTGGAAAGTGTCCCAAACCCAGTGGTGGTGTTGGATGATGGGTAGAAGTTTAGTACATGTGAGGAGACAAAAAAATGCCATTGGCAGCTCTTGGATTTTGGCCTCCCCAAAATGCAGTTACTACACAATCGAACTTGCTGGTGAAAGTATCCTAAAAGGCAGCTACTACACTTTAAACATCAACTTGATTAGTCCAAAGAAAGGTGTGAAAAGCACCCTGCAGGATCAGATACAAAACTGATTTTGGGGTGTTGGCCCTGACTTTATGCCCAGACTGTTTGTACTAAGCATTATCACTTGCATTGCAGTGCTTATGCTTCTGAAAGTAACTTGATCTTGGGACATATGTTTTTTTTATTTGCATAATACAAATAAAGAGTAATTCTTCATGAAAATTTAAGTTGGATTTGTTCCATTTTCATAGCAGGCTGTGTGGCCCAAAAGACTGACTTGGTGAAGGCTCAGGTCCCAGCTGTTCATCTCAAGTTAAATATCAAATTATACAACTTCTCAGGAAGTTGTATAATTTGAAAGAACAAACAACTGAACTAAAACAAAATTTGATTGTAAATCTTTATTAATAGAAACACATTCTTTCTGAAGGACTAAAATTCAGTAGTGTAAGATCCATGACAGCTTGCACTAGGTACCACAATTTCACTGATGAATACATACGGATTTCATAACAGAGGTTTAAATGCCCAGAGAAGAAATCAAAGGATGAAAGTGATCCTTGCTGTTCTGTTACTCAGCTAATTCAACCCTTTCACATACTTCAAACATAGGTACAGTGTGTGCTAAGTGAAATATTGTGTAAATAGTGCTCAACTCTCCTGAGTAAAGTAGGCTGTGCTTCTCCCAAAGAGAAGTTGTATCACGCCTCTTGTTGACAGAACACAATTTGTGAGATGCAGCGTGGAGCTTGTACTGCTTCTATGTTAGTCTCATAACCCTATTTCACTTACAGTAACAAGCACTGGGTCCATATCACAAACCTTCTGCTGTTTGTTACTTTTAATATATATAAAATAATTTTCTGGAGGGTTTATATTGTTTTACAATAGAAAAAGATAAATAGTAACATGGCACTAAGCTAATCTCAGCTTGTGTCTGTCCTGGATTGCTGGCATTGCTCTGCAGTGCCTGGGGCAGTGGCAGTTGGGAAACAACCTGTTCATAACCACAGTGCAGTTTGAACTAAACTTGCTGTACCTTTCTAAGCTGGGGTAAGGAGGCCAGAGGAATCTGGGATCAGCTGCAGGAGGCTCAGTGTGAAGAAGGACATGCTGAAATAAAGTCAACTGAACCAGAGGTTTCCAGGTGAGACAGCAGATGACCTGAAATGTGGGGGGAGCTTCTCTTTAGTGGTGGTGGTTAAAGCAAGCAAAGAGAAAAGGGTCCTTCAAACCTGTGTGGGACCTCCCTTACTAAGATTTGATATGTGCTATCTAAATAATACAGTCTGTTTGACCCCCCTGTTCCATCCCCCCAGGAGCCAGTCAATACTCACACCAACCTCTCTGCTGCACCCCTAAAGGCAGCAGAAGAGTGACTTTGCTGCCCTGCTGAAGGCTGTGAATACAGGAGCCACAGCCCTGGCAGGATGGATCAGAGGGGCCCCGTGTCCCATGCGAATTCCCCATTCTCCCTTTGCATGGGTTGGATGGAGTTCTGTTGGGGTTCACGTGCCAGGGGAATGCTGGTACCTACATTCCCTTGTTTTGTTACATTTCAGTGCTTGCTCTACCAACCAGGAAGCATTTCTGCCCTCAGTGGCAGCTTCCTTTCCCTAATGACTGGACAGGATGTGTTGCTACAGGAATACACATTGCTATGGTCCACACAGAGCTCCTATTCTGTCAAGGCTTAACTAGAAACAGACTAAGTTGTAGTATTTAAATCAGCATTAGCTACTTCCAGTTTGAATTCTGTACCATCAGTAATGCTGCAGAAGAAAAGGGGGGTTATATACTGAGCAAGTTTATCCCAGTGGCTGATGAACACCCAAACACTGCACAGTGGCCTCAGACTGTGCCTCCTCCTGCCATCAGGATGCCTCCCAGGAACAGCACAGGCCAGCAAAGAGCATATCCCACATCAGAAGCCCTATCTGCATGCAATATTGAAAGAGCAAATCTCCAATTAAAAGATAAACACTATTTCTAGTTAGTGCTGCTCCACTGATTATAAGCATATCATATGCAGATAATAGGATTTCTTTCTAATATGCTGGTTGACAGGATACACGTTTAAATGTTCAATGGTAAATGCCATGCATAGATGATGGAAAGGGAACAAAATCCAATATAAGGGAATGTTACCTGAATTCACTATGAAATCATGAAATCTAGCGTGGTCATTTCATTTTACAAAATTCTTGCATTACAGTGGGTAAAACCGTAAGAATTAGAGGCTTATCTTGTCCCCAAGTGAGATAAGAAATCATTGCAGTCCTGCTTCACTTCATCTTTCTCTTCTTTGGTCCAAGGTGCTGTTTCCTTTGCTTGTAGAGGTAACGGTAGTTTACAAATACCCCTGGGAAAGAATGAAGTGTTTAGGAAGGACATCACTGCGTCCTTTTATGCTAAATGGCTGTACCAGACCTAAAGGAAAAATAACAGAACCCAACTAACCCAACCACCACACAACAAAATAAATGATTTAGGGTGTGTGCAGCAGTGAAAGCCAATGCAAGTGTGGTGTGGCTGGCTGAGGCAGGAGTTGCTGCACAGGTTGTTTGGCAAAGAGCTGCTTAGAAGGGTTGTTTGTCACCTTTAAGAAGTTGTGACACCAGCTGTGCAGAGCTAAGGAGGATGAACCAGGTATTTCAGAGTGAAACTCAACTGAAGGGTGGCTTTAAGCAATGTCTGTGAGCAGGAGAAATCCAGTGAAAGCTCAGTTTAAAATGCTGGTTTAGATTGTGGTGAGTTGTGGATACCCAGCGTGGGTGTGGATACCAGGAATTTAAATTGTGTTTACAAATTAACACCAGAAACCAACTATGTCTCAAGCAGGTTTTCTTCTTTAAATTACTATTTAAAGAGAGTTCTATCTTGTTTCCTGGGAAAACATGATTTCATGTTGCATTTGTGATTATATTGCAACATTTAACTAAATTACTTTAATTTGAAATTATGTTTAGATTGCAATGCATCATTCTAAAGCTCAAATACCCCCGAAAAGGTGAAACTAAGTATACTATGGTTATAAATGCATGTAAAAATTATTCCTTTAACCCAAGTTTATGTTGCTAATTTGTTACCAAGATATCCTTTTTCTCATTAGGGGTGTGTTCCCCTCAATCACTGACAAATTTACATGAACAATCCACAAGGATAACACTTAACCTCAAGCAATTTTGTGTTGCCATGGTCCCCAAGATGCAGGAATTTCATTTTCTTTGAAAAATCAAGTTATTCAGGGGAAACTTTTTATTTCAATATTGAGAAATAGAATTAAATACTTACCTAAAAACAAGGCTATAAGATATATTTGAAGCACAAATGGGAACTGGATTGTGACATTCAGTGGATTTGGCAATCCCAGGCTAAATTTCCCTGTTTCACTGAAGATTGGAATGGATTGAACAATACAGACAGCTGAAAGCAGAAGGCCACCATCATTACCAAGTACAGATCAAATGTATAATTACCCAGCCCACACCAACTATTTCAGCATAGTCCCTTCTAATTTGCCAGTGCTGATTAATGACAGCAATTTTGAAGGTGTTGAACATGCAGGAGGGTGGGAAGCACCTGCCTGGGGGGTGCAGCAGGGAACCTTCCTGGTGAGCCTGTTCTCAGGCACAGCTGCAGCCCCAGGGCCTGTGCCAGCAGGATCTGCCATCCAGAAATACCCCCAGCAATGAAACAGGCACACTGCTCCCCCTGCTTGGTGTTGGGCAATGCCCAAAGCTCCTCCTGGCTCACAGACACGGGTTTGCAACACAGGAATAAGCCCCTGCCTGTCCTCTGCAGTCATTTACAAGATAATATCAAGACCTGGGAGCTGGTGTGAACCCAGGCCAGGCTGAGCAAGTCAGGCCCAGCAGACAAAGCTTTGGTTCAGCAGAGGGAAGTGAGCACTGGCCTCCTGTGCAGCTTGTTCTTATTCCATTTGTTCGTGCAACCCATCACTGCCTTTACTTCCCCCTCCAGAAAGGGAGTCTTTCCTCCAAAAGGAAGACTTTACATCAAATTGAAAATAATATCTGATTCAATATGAAAGACAAAATGCTTATATTTGGTTCACCTCAAAGCAAATCTATTTATCTGTTGCTCTGTTTTACTATTTTAAGTCCAGCTGCCAGAAAAAGAAATTGAGCTATTTTCCCAGCCTTGAATTCATTATTTAGTAAACTGTTTTAAGGAGATACCTTCTGCCAAGCCCCCTAAGGGGTACAGAGGGATCCAGGCAGTGTAACGGAGCCAGGTGAGTGGTTTCCATTCAATTCCAATGCAGGAAAGCATGTAATAGGGATACCTACAGTGTGAGGAGAAACAAACACTTTAAAATGGAAACTACTACTAGAATTGGTCTTGTGTATCTACACTGTGTGCTCAACACAATTCCCAAATGACACCAGAATATTCAAGGCATTGTCCCTGTGGATGATGATGGACACACAGTTATTGGGCAGTTTACAGAGCTCAGGCCATTCTGAACACAGGCATGAAGGCAACTGCCTGGCTGCCTAATAAACCCTTCAAAATTACTTGGGTTCAAAGATAAAGGCCTCATTTAACAATGGAAATTCAAAGCATGAAAGAAATAAAGAAATAAAGCAGCAGGGCAGTATCACTTCCAGACTCCAGCCCTGCCTCAGCTTTTGGCAGCTGAAGGAAGGCTGTGAACAGTCCATGACTCAAGGACCCTCTGGGGCCAACTCTTCTAAAAAATACAAAGATCAAAATCTTCTTTCTTGGGAACAACCACTCTGTTCTGTGCACACTTGGTAGGAGGAAAATCCCACCAACCTGAACAGCTCAATGATACTCCAGAAATAAAATATGAAGAACACCACAGGTTTGCTCTGCATTTCCTCCAAGGTTCCAAGGATAACAAACAAAATGAAGTTTCTTCCAAATATCTATTAAAGAAAAACATATTAAGGAACATTCACTCTTCATCGAAGGAAGGGCAAGTCCTTGCTGTCAGAAACACAAGATATCCACTCCTCACACTTCTGAGCACACAACTAACTCACAGCTGAGCTGGAAGAATCTTGCCCTGTATTTAGGTCCAATCCAAGGGATCCAGTCTCAAATCAGCCATCTAATTTTTATGCACAACAACCACAACCAGGATAAAAAGGGCACTGGCACCAAATCAAAATCATGTACTTTTATCAGCTTCTTGCTTTTGCTGTCCTGCACTCCCTTTCCCAGGTGATGGAAGGAGACAGCCAGCCTGTCACAGCCCAGACATGGGTTCCTGCCTTGTGAATAAGAAATCCTCTAGTCCAGTGCCAGGAGTTTGCATCACTTATTTTAGGAAACTCTCAACACTTGTGTAAAATAAACATTTACTTTAAACATAAGTGCAAGGAGAAGAATTTAGAAATACAACCTGCACTATAGAAGGGATCAGCGGTGATTTGACCAGCCCTATTAGTGAATTCATGATCTCCATTAATGCCAGGGTCTGACAGAAATACATCATATCAGAAATAGTGTGAAATGTGTCATAGAAGGAATCTGTAAGACACAGAAAACCAACCATTTTAGAACAAATGAATTTCCATGCTCAGGAAGCCGGTGCAGCAGCACAGCTTGTGATAACAGGATTCTAGCTGTTTTTGAGAAAAACATGATGCATAATTACATAAGTTCTTTACAGGCCTTATCTTGAACTCACAGCAGCTGGGGCAGAAACACTGCTCCATTTCACACACAGAAGGATCAAGAGCTATTTCAGTAATTGCTTTACAAAAATGGCAATAGTGCTGTACCTCAACAGAATGGATTGTTCTTGCTTCAAAAACAAAATATTCTGTCCAGATCATTTTCAAAAACATTAACATTGCAGTCAGTGAGACATTTTGCTTCAGCTGATTTTGTTAGAAGTGATCCTGGCAGAGCACAAGTATCACTCACAGAGTACACAGCTGTGACTTACAAGGGGACAGTATTTTCCTGCCCTTGACACTTTGATGACCTTTGAAAGGCTTTCATTGTGCTCTTTGGCATTGCACTCGTGGTTTAGTTCCTAAAGATATCTCCCTTTAGATTTTGCCATTTAAAAGGTCTTAAAAACAACACTGAAAATCAACTCAAACCCTCCAATATAAATAAAATAGTGCTCATTACTTGCCTTTTCCTAAGATGAATAGTCGTACAGTCATGTTCACAAAAATCCAAGAGAATCCCAAAAACTGTACAAGATTATACATGACTAGGTATCCCTTCTTCAGGTGTTTGAAAGCTAAAATCAATAATAAACACATCAGGTGAGCAGAGTACAATGGTAATAGAGCTGCATACCAGGATTTCTGAGAATAAAGCTTTTAAGGAAAAGGGAAGTTATTGATTGTGATAAAAGCACTGTTGGGTACACTGGGGGTTCTGCTTTTGCCATTATCTGCCAGAACTCCAGAACTTGCTAATCAGATTTTTGACATTCCATTTTTATTAAATTTCTAATAGCTCACAAAACAAAGATCCCCCTCCAAGACACCAAGCCACTCAAAACTTCTTAAGAGTCAAGGTTCACAAAGTGTGAACAAACTTCCTAAATCCCACTTTACCCATTAAAAATATGCAGTTACTTACGGTCTTTTGGGACTCTGGATTCTATTTTCATTTTGTTAATCTTTTCTTCTTCCTTAAGATGAAGGATAAGGTTTTAAAGACTTACTGTAATTAGCAAGTGATTTGTTAACTATACTACTGCAAAGCTGGTGGGTTTAAAACTCAGCCAAGCACCCAGTAGCTAGAAGGTTTAAATTTTCACCAGCATAAACCAGAACATTCATCATCCAGAAATTATAGTACAGTAAAAGCCAGAGGGTGTTAACCAGTTATCCTGCCCTCACCATGTGGTTTGTTCTAGTAATTAGATGCTTTTGCTGAAAGAGCCTCTGCTTTCGGTGTTAATTCTCAGTTATGACTGTGCTGTGTCTTACATGATCCACCAGCAACCTGAGGAGAACAGAGAACATCCAGCCCAGGTTCTCTGCCTGCCTTTCCCAAAGCTCCTGGGCCTTGGCCCTGCAGTGCCCCCTCTGCTCCCTGCTAAGCTCATGGCTGCAGAGGGGAACAGGGCAGTGTTTGTTGCAAAAAGGATTTGCAGGAACGTGGTCTGTTCAAGCCTTTTCCAAGTCCATCTTGCACCTCCCCACTCAGTAAGCTGCTCAAGCTCACCAGATGGTGGGAATGCACGAGCAGGGCCAGCCAGGGGCTCAGGAAAGCCTCAGCAATCCCTGCTTCCCACACAGACAATGTCCAGGACTCTCTCCTTTGGGCTCCACATGGCAGAGTGACGTGATCCTCTGTGGATCAGCACACCCAGCAAGGAGCACGTGCAAGGAGCCAGCACACAGCCTCCAGTTCTAACCAGAAATGTGCCTATTTCCCAATCCCCACTTACAATTTGAACCACTTAACTAAAAAAGCTGGTGTTGAATGGTGGGTGATGCTGCCTACTACCTGTTCCCAACAAACCTCTCCTGTAGAAAAGCACGTTGGGTTAACATTCAGGCAGTGCAGTCAATCCCCACACAACACTCACCACAGCTGGTCAGCGAGAGAGGCAAGAAAGGCTCCTTTTTGCAAGGGTTTATTCCAGCAGAGTATATCACATGTGGCTGAAGGGAAGCCGGTGAGAAAGAGGGCAGCCACTAGCGCAGGCAGCTTAAGAAGGGGAAGGGGTGGGGGGCGGAGATAAGGGCAGGGCAAAGGGGGTTGGTCTCCTTAGCCACCAGTGGTACCAAGCCAGTGAGGGGACAGGCAAAGGGGAAACCAGGGGAAGTCCACGTGGGAGTTTGTCTTTTCCTCCCAGGAGGGCTAGTCTGTGGTTAGAGGAGAGAGTTCATGGGATGCTACACTTAACCAACTCTATACAGAACAGCAATAACAATCAGCATGCCAGGAACTCCTGGTATATGAAGAATGCAGGTTCAGGCACAGGAGAACAGCTGCCCTTGCTTGGTAAGTGGCAGCACAAGCTCCAGGTGCCCACAGGACTCACCTTTTCCTTCAGCTCCATCTCAGCATCCGACTCGTCCAACCAGCGGTCGAAATCGGGCGCCAGGAAGAGCGGGCGCTTCTCCTGCTTGGTCAGCCTCTCCCACCAGTTACTCTCTTTCTTCTGCACAGTGATGTTCACCTGCCTCTGGGTCATCCTGCACACAGGCTGGGGGCAGACACATCAGCAAATGTCCAGTGAAACAAACTCTGAGGCTGAGTTGGTAGCCAAGCTCCCCTTATCAAGGAGGCAGGGATGACACAACTGTGGTTGCCCAAATGTCTCTCTGCCAACCAAGACTTGGAAGCAAAGGGCAGTCCAGCTGAAGATGGCAGCTGTGATAGCTGCACGACTTGATGAGCAGCCTGCCCATATCACAGCACCACTGCATCCCACCACAGAGCCAGCAGAGACCCCAGTGCCAGCCTTCTTAGACAGAACCCCTGATCTTGGCTTTACACCTCACTTGCACTGTGAGCCATCCACCTCCTATAGCCAGCAGTAAAAATAACACTGCCAGCAGCCACAGGTACTTGTCTAAACAGGGGACCCCATGTGACCCCTGCTGCACCGAGAGAAGGAGCTAAGAGCCTTAGGGAATGCCTGGACACAAGGTGAGCTGACAGAGCAAGCAGTGTGCTCACTGCCACCCCACAAGGCCTCTCCACCTGCACAATGGCAGCCCAGAACCTCTCCATCCTTACAGTCCATGGCATTGTCACCTTGGAGCCCATGGCATTGTCACCTTGGAGCCCTTGTGACACTGAGGCTGCTCCACATGGCACTGCCTGTCAGACCAGCTGGAACTGCTGCACAAGCTGCACTCCTAACTGAGCACATTACAGCAGCTCTGCTCTGTCAAGGCTGCCTGGATGCTCCTCAGACATCTGAAGGCTGCTGCTGTAATTTACAGCTACTACACCTCATCCTTGCCTGCCACAGGCTCCATTTGTCACTGCTGGCACCAGCAAGGGGAACTCATGCTGCACATCAAAACTAAAGGAGAAAAACCTAGACTGTGATGCTGCCTGGTCCTGACCATCTGTAGTTACACAGAGTTCAGTCTGTTCTCCAGTCCCTCCACAGTGACTCAGAGTGACAACTTTTGGAAGGAGGCTGCTCTGCAGAGACAAGGACTTGCCTTCCAGGCCTGGCTCACAGCAGAGCCTGTGTCTGCCAGCACAGGAGACAGGCACAGGCAGAGACAGGCACCTCTCCCACACCGTCCCAGGCAGATGATAAGGCAGTGACCAGACCCTGGAACCAAGAGCTGTTCACTGTCTGCCACTCCACACCTGGCAGGAGCCACACCAGAAACATGGCTGCTGACAGCGCCTGGAAATTCCCCCTCCAATGGTCTCCTTCCCTTCTCCTTCCCTTCTCCTTCCCTGCTGAGGAGCAGAGGTGAACGGTGGCTCCCAGTCTGACTGGAGCTATCCCAAGCTCAGCCAGGAATAAGCAACACAAATCCTGCCCCAGGAGCAAAGCCCAAGTTCTCCTGTGCCCCAGGCTCTGAGAGGGGGGACAGACCTCACAGCCACCTGTGAGTAACACAGAGGGACAGCTCTTCCCACTCACACTGCAACAGGGATTAAGGAAAGACTTCTCCAGCAGGAACCACAGCCTAAGAAATCTGCTCAAGCCAGAAACAAATTCTCCTGACTTTCTTCTTTTGTCCAGCTACAAAAGAAGCCATGAAACATCATACTAACTGCACAATGTTCCCCTGACCTCCAGTCAAGGTTGCATCAGACAACACATTGCCAGATTCTCCCCTTATTTTGCTGCTTCACATCCTTTAAAAAACTTAAAACTGCTTTGTAACAAGTAACAAGCAAGTGCTTACCCAAGCTGGTTCATGCAAGCACCAGCTCCAGTGAGGTGATTTGCATTAAAACAAGACAATGGCACACAGGACTGCCACAGAGCTGGCTGTTACTGAGTTACCAGAAAAATTTGAACAGTATATTGGGAACTTTGTGCACAGCCATTTCCCTTTCAAGTTCTTCAAAATTTATTTTTTCTTTGCAAGAATTAGAGAAGTAAAAATACCTACTTTAGGATCGACTGGCTCGAGGAATTCGATCTCAAATTCATATATGTTGTCTCCTTTGGCACCATGACCCTGGGCTAAAAGACAAGAATTGACAGTCAGTGTGGTTCCACACACTCCACTTGCAAAGAATGCTTTGTACACAGAAATATTCAGCACTTACTCACAGCACTTTCTTCGTGCCTTCCTCAGAGGCAAGAGGAAACCACACAATTACAGGGAAGACACCAAAACCTTGCTTGGAGGGGCAGATGCAGGAGTCAGCAGCTAAAGCTGCTGCACGTCTGCACCACGCTGAAAAAGGGTCCCTGCTGCAGGAAGCCAGCATGTCAAATTCCCAAAAGAGGGGATCAAAAGGCTGCTCAGGGATAACTCAAATCCAGCAGAAAATCTCCTGCTGGGGGATCCAGCCTCTGCACAACAGAGCACCCAGAGAGATGGGTGCTGCTGGGTGAGGATGAGGGTGATGTGGGGAGTCCCTCCCAGCAGCAGAAAGGCACTTATCAGGGTTTGTTATCTCCCACATTGATCCTGTCCCCAGAAAGGCTCCAAAACTGCACACTGTGTATAATTCCCACCCTTCCACGCTGTAAACTGATCCCAAGGAGAACATGATGTGCAACACCCTCCTATCAAATGGCCTGGCTGTGGCTCACCGAGGAGGCAGCAGCTCCTAATGAGACATCTTAAAAAATTCTGTCCAGCTGCACAAAAAGCATCTTTCAGGGCAAGATCTGCTTTAGTTTCCAAATGGAGCACTAGTTCCTGATGTGGAGGCTTGATAAGAATTGCACACAAGGTCTTTGTGAAAGGAAAAATTGCTGTGAGTTATCTCCAGGGTTTGGCTGGCCCAGGATGGGAAGGATATATGGAAATTCCACTGGTATTTAAATATGGGGAGGTTGGGGTTTTCTTGTTAGATAAGATAGGGCCTGTTGTGGTTACCAGGGCTGGAACACAGAGGGCTGTGGGTGGGAATGTGGCAGATCTGGACATGCCCAGCACAGTGGCTCCTGCCACTGATGGGGACCAGGCACCCCGCCATGGGGACAAGTGGGACAGCCCTGGGGTGGGGCCCAGGCTGAGACCCCCCCGATGGAGCCCCTACCTCTGAAGTGCAGGACATTATCGGTGATGGTGATGTCCG